TATTTGTACAAAACGGGACGGTAAACTCGGCACTCGAATTGTATATCCTTCGTTTTAATACTTCCCTCTCTTGGTAAGTTTCATAGAGATAATTATGGATCTAGATAGTATTAGTTTGATTACCTTCCTATCTGTCCGTCTGTCCACTGTTAATTTTAGTTGTAGAAAACGAGACGGTAAACTCGGTACTCGAGTTGTATAGCGTCCCATTTAGTACTTCTTTCTAGATAGTATTAGTTCGATTACCTTCCTACCGTTTAATACTTCTTTCTAGATAGCATTAGTTGGATTATCTCCCTATCTGTCCATCTGTAAGTCTGTTCATTTTAATTGTACAAAATAAGATTAATATTTCTTTCTTGTGGTAAGCTCCATAAAGATAATTATGGGTATAGATAGCATTAATTTGATTAGCTTCATATCTGTCCATCTGTCTGTTTGATATCTGTTTACGATTTCAATTGATTTTCGAGATATTTTGACGGAATTCGATATATTTTATCGATTCACGTCTTATATGCAGGAGTGATAAAAAAAAAAGAAAAAAAAATGTTGTAGTTTTAATGAATCTCTTTCAAAATTCGTAAAGAATAGTGTTATGGCATATATAAAATAAGCTGGGAAATGTGGATGCAATAGTAGGACAATTTTTCACGATTTGATATATAAATTTGCCTTGATATATTTGGCTTATGCCCTCCCCCTTTATACGGATTCTTGCGGATTCTTGTTCGTCTTTATAGTTTTTCATATTTTATGACGAATTATACGAATTTGGCTGGTTATACGATAAATTCTTTGCCCATGCATGAAAGTAGATTGTTATTTATGACTCCGCCTTCACCAGAAAAACGTAGTTATCCGCCACGTTCTTAATTAAATTAATAAACGATATAATAGACTCGACATTAAGTTAGTTAACCGAAATCAAGTTTAATTTTCTTAACCTGACGACTAGTTTTGTACAAATTCTATTTTCATCCGAACTCATCTACCGTAGGTATAACTATATATATGTGTATATTGAACTCATTTAAGGCCTCTTGCAAAATTTAAATGATGTCGATGTTTTAATCCCCATGTCAGATTTCGTCAATATCATTAAGTCAGCTCTTGTTCTCTTATCGTTATCGTGACTTAGTTAATTTTTAATCTTGAAATCTTCTATGACTCGATAATAAACTTAATACGTTTGCTATTGTCGAGCATTAAACTATTGCGTCGTTTGCATTGTAATGGTACATTCCTAATTGGAATCCATATCAGCTGCGTGTGTACCTCTGTGGTAGATGCTTGTTTTCGTTTCTCTTGTGTTTATTTATATATTTTCTCTTTATATAATTATATTAAGTTATATTAAGTTAATGCGTTGTATGTTTTTATTACACTGATCGATTCGGAATCACAATATGAATTAATGTAAGACTGTCTGTCCGTCCGATGACTGTCCATTTAAATTTGTGCTACAGATCACAATTTTTTAAGATATTTTCATGAAATTTGGCACAGTGACGTGTTTCGACCTAAGGACAAACGCTATTGAAAACGGTTCGGGTCGGTCCACTTCTTCGACCATTCCGCATATAACGCTCTATTCTGGAAAATCGTTATATGGACAAAAATAGCAATTTTCGAAATTTCTCATAAAAAGCGGCTAAGTGGTAGTAATTCCGCATTCTAAATTGGTATGAATTTTTTGAACCGGCGGAGGCAATTTTTGAACCCTTTCCCTTATAACGAAAACTGAAGTTCATACGACAAAAAAGGTATAATTTTCAATGATTTACGGTGAAAATTATATCATAATAGTGATTTAACATGAAAAAATTAACTGTGCCAAATTTGGAGCATCTCGTCTTCCTGGTTCATCCTTTGTAGAGCAGAAAAGTTT